TTATTATTATTATTATTATTAATTATTGTTATTATTATTAATTATTATTATTATTATTATTGCTATAACAATTAATTACTATTACTAAGACTAAGAAGAATTTTGTAAAGTTTTGAATTTTTAAACTGTTTGTAGGTAAAGAGTGACGAGATGACGGAAAAATCTTGTAATGTTGACCAAAAAATAAAAAAAAGGATTTTTTTTTGTATATAGCACATAGATAATATGTCAGCTATGAAAAAGTATCTAACTGAGGAGCTATAATTTGAGTGTACTGCTGCATCTTATCAGATAAGTTAGGTGGTAGACATGTCAAATAAATGTGGGAGTGAGTTTGCGTTAAAGTAATCGATAGCTTTAATCGATGCTTTATATTCTTTTTATAAAATTCGAGTCTGAAGAAGCAGAAGCGGTAGAAGTATTTTAGTAGCTCCAGGCAGGAGAAACTGACACTACCTTGGAGCTGCGGAAAATCGGAATTTTGAATGAACAGGACATACTTGAAGGACTGTAACTGCTCTACTTCTCACAGAAATAAATACTTTCAATGTCACTTTCGGCAATGCTTTTTTTATCTTTTGAATTTTTTAACATTTTAATTTTTTTTTTTCTGTTATTTAAGAAAATGATATAAGACTTCAGTTTCAAAGTAGGTTTAAAAATGTTCAATTTCTGGTTTTTTTCAAAAGTTGTATTCAATGTACAATTTTTATTCAGGGTGCACTGATTTCTAGAATGGATCATTGATGAAGAGGTGAGGTGCGTAAAGAAGATGAGGTGAAGTCATGAAAATACACTGAAGTACTTTGTTCCGCTTGTTACGCATCTTAATTAACAATTGGATGCCCTGGTTGATCTCAAACTTTGCAAAACTTGGTTGTAGTAAGAAAAGGACTATCCTAATTTTTTACCGCTGTCTACAAAGAAATTTTGCGGTTTAGTGTAATTTTCGACACTTCAGCTTTTTTTTTTCTTCTTTTTTTTTTGTCACTTGCTGTTGGTATCTTAAAATTTATTGTATTGTATAGAAAAAAGATTCTGTTTGAAACATACCTCTCAGAAAAAAGAAAAGATCTGATGACTTTCCAATGTTAATTTTTAAAATAAGAATTTTGTGCTGTTTTTTTAAATTGTGATGAGAAATTAAAGTTTTAAAAAATCTGTACGACAAATGATACACTCTTCAAAGAAGCACTAAAAAGTATTTAATTCTGTAAACGGTGATACAATTTATAATCTTCCAAAAATGTCATGCTTAGTTAAAATACAGTTTTTGATAACTGTAGGATGGTGTCACTTTCTACCGGAAAGGGCTAGTTAATTAGAATTCTTTTCTTTTTGGAACTTAGTGAAAAAACTTTATCATTCAGCAGAGTTTGGAAGAAATTTGGAAAATCAGTTGAGAAAAGCAATTGATTTGACATGTGGGGAGTGGGATTAGCAAATTCATCTGCCTCTTCTCCTTTGTTAACGAAAGAGTACTGTAACCTTTGTAACATAATTAGTTCTTCCAGGATATTATTTTTTTTTGAAAAAAATAAAAAGTTGTTTAGTTTTTTTTTCAAAAAAATGGTGAAAGCGGAAAAAGTGGTCCTCAGTTTTTAGTTTTTTCGCAACCAGACAACTAGGATTTTTACACATTTAACTTTTTATTAATCTTTTTCTTTTTATTTTTATCAAAATCGAGCAGTTTTTATAGATGATAAAAGCTTTATTCTTTTGGGAAAAGTGTTGGTTAAACCAATGAGTTTCTCTTTAAGTTTTCTATATTTATATACGTAAACTTATGGAGTTGAAAAAACACTGTAGCGAGTAGAGTTAATTTTCTACTTAATGCGCACTAAAAGCGTTTTTTCCAAAATATTTTTTGTATTAATAAACAAAAACGTATGGTAATGTTTGGTTCTCAAAGAAATGGTGATTAAAACCAAAAAAAAATTTCAGAATAAATTCTTGGCTGTAATTTAAAGCGCTATACTTATAAAAAAGTGTTTGCTAAATGGTGGTATTGTAAACGAGCACTTATTACTGTGTTCACTTCATTTACTAGTGAATAATCCTTCAGTTCGTGTAACTCAAATTCTGTAGCGGCAAATGTCTGATTATACTTAACACTCATTTTAGGAACTAATTCCTGATGATAGTGTTTGGTTATTTCTTTTAATGCTATTTTACTAACACTGCTGAAGATTTAAACCGACACAAATATGGGACTTGAAATGTTTCAGCTGCATAACAAGGTTAATTTGACATTTTTGGTGTACAATCATCTACTTTCTAAAGTTAGCAAATTTAGGTTTTGATGGAGATTTCGTGAAAATATAAAGAACACTTTATTAGAGCATTGATATTTATTTAATAAACATTTCCTTTTATTAAATTGAAGGGGAAAAAAATCAAACTACAGGCAAACTGAGTCATTTTAAAATGTATGTGATTGATTGCGGATGCACGTACTGCTCATAAAAGTATTAACTCGCAGTACCAGATAACAATTATCTAAGTTATTAATGCAAATTTCTGGCGAGGTCTATGCAAAAAGGAAACTGTTTAACGGAAACGGAAGAGTACTTTCTCTCAGTTCATCTGACTGAAGCTGCAAAAAAATTCCTGAGGTTAGTGAAAACAAATTACAAAATATAAATTTTTTAGATCGTTGATCGTCTGCATGCTTCCTCCTGGCAGATCAGAGAGACGAATTTGCGGCTTGCACTTGGTATAGGAATCATGTTTTTTTATTTATTGATCGGGGCAGTAGTGTTTGTCCAGATTGAAGGACCAGCTGAAGCTGACGATTTTGCCACCTACGAGCTGTTGAGGCGCTACTGGAACAAACGACTTATCAATGCGACACAGCTTACTGGTACTTTTTTTCAAGGAAGAATCGATGGTTAAAACGATGGCGTATTGAATATTTTCCAATACTTTTAAAAAGACATTATTCAGAAGCTGAAATAGATGAACTGTTCGCAGATATACGAAGTATGGCTCTGAAAGGCGTATGGAAGGAAAAGAATATGACGTCTGATTATAGCTGGACATTTGGTCAAGCATTCTTTTTTTCTGGCGCTCTTATCAGCACAGTTGGTAGGCGAGTAATTTATTAAAACTACTTTCCTCTCAAAAAGAAGCGCATAGATATATAATTAAAAGTTGTCTACTATTCACAGTTAAAAAGTAGTTTGCCTTAGAACGCTAATGTTTAAGAAGAACAACTAACA